ACCCACCAGCTGCTCCTCAGAAACCCTATACAGGATCACTATGAGTCAGAACCAACTCAACAGCACCTAACAACAACAACTTGAAATATACCTTTCACTTGATATCACATCATGTTTAAATGTTGACAGCCAACTTGAAAACGCTTTTTTTTTTTTAACTTTTCCTTATGAATTGAGTGATGATTTACAGACAAGATCTTCAATTTTATATTAGACATATCATGCACTGTTTAATCTCAATGATTACAATCTCCTCCATCAACAACAGTTACACTGCTTCCTCCCTGTGGCTCCTTTTCCATTCCACTCACCTTCACATCCCTCCTCAACTTTCTCCATAGGCAAATGTTACCCTTTTGATATTTAATAATTGACCATTGCATGGTGACCATACCTTTACTATTGTTCCTCCTGTATACCTAACTATTGCTTAGCTGAAAACTGGGCCACAAAGTTGAGTTCCTTTCCAGACCTGAAGGGTGATCAAGATGATTGTCTCAGGTTCCTCCAGTCTCTTTCTGACTAATAAGCCTAGTCTTTTTTTTTTTTTTTTTAAGTTTTCCTCCACATTTTCCATCACTGTATCTAGGTCCTTCTAATGTGATCGCTTTCAGTGTAATTGCTAGTGGCTGTTGTTGTTGAGTGCCGTCTAGTATATTCTGACCCATAGGTACCCTGTCTAGGGTTTCCAAGGAGCAGTTGGTGAGCCTGAACCACCAACCTTGCAGTTCAGACGATCTTGCAGTAGTAACACCGTGTAATACAGATAAAATACATTTGAAGTTCGTTATTTTGTGATTTCTGATTAATAGGTCAACTCATAAGACTATTTATTTATTTAAAAGTAACAGATATCTATTATGGGACAGAAACATAATCATAGGAAAAGAGGACCATACCCATTATTTATAAAGCTTATGGACTCCTGGTGTGGTGCTATAGGATCAGCACTGGACTGCAAAACATAGTTCAAACCCAACAGCTGCTCCTTGGAAACCCTATACAGGGTACCTATGAGTCAGAACTGAATCAATGGCAATTAACAGCAACAATAATCTAACAGATATTGGTAAAATATACATATATAATGGAAAACTGCAATAGGTGTTATTAAAGGAAAGTATAGGTATGTAACAAGAGGATTTTCTATAGTAAAGGGTGATGGGGGTCATTTTCTTTAAAATTTTACTTTGGAATTGCAAGCTAAACAATATGAGTCAACAACGGGAAGTTGTTGTTATTGTTAAGTGGTGTTGAACAGGTTCTGAGCCTTAGCAACCCTGTATAGAGTTTCCAAGAAGCAGCTGGTGAGCTTGAACTGGTGACATTGTGGTTCAAACCTACGTTGCAGTCCAAAGTATTAGCCCACAGCACCATATATGACTCTGTAAAGGAAAGAGAGGTAGACTATTATTCTAAACCAAGGAAATGCTGTTATTGTTAAGTGCCGTCAAGTAGGTTCCAACTTATAGTGACCCTATATTGTGTCAAACTGGTGGGTTTGAACTGACAACCTTGTGGTCAGCAGTAGACAGCTTATCTTAAAGATTCATGCCAGGAAGCAGAAAGTGTAAATTCTATGAAGCCCTAAAGTGCATTGCACCTTTGAGGACCTGAAGGCAGAACTCAGAGAAGGAGGTAGAAGTGTGAAAGGTGAAGATTAGAAGCGGATAGGAGCCATAGTGTGCAAGATCTCTAGATTGTATTAGTAATAGTTCTTTTGTTATTACTTTTTAATCTAAAAACAGTAAGAAGAGCTTTAAGAGTTGTAAAAAATTATGGAAATTTGAATTTATTGTTAATTTTAGAAGAGCATTCCAATACATGTGTTGACAAGTGACAATAGTAAATAAAAACAAACCACTTAGAGAAAAGTGCATTAATTCAATGGAAACCAATGATGCTTGGTAAGAGTAGTAACATTGTGATCAAATCTACTGCATCTGTGGTAGAAGACTATGGAGAGGCTGGTTGTCTTCAGTCAAAACAAGACTAGCATCAGACAATGGAGGGGACCCTCAGGTAAGTTCAGGCGGAAAGACAACTAGAGGTAAAGAACGTATGACTTGAATGTATCGAGTTGAATTTGGAGGCCATGTCGAGAATAGATTTGGAGCATTGAACACTGATGACCAAAGACCAGAGGAGTTATGACATGACATCAAGACAATTGTGCATGGAGAAAGAAAGGGTTAACTGCAAAGACAAGAGAGGAAGAAAACAAAACAAAATGGATGTTACAAGAAATTTTGAAACTTGCTCTTGAATGTAGAAAACTAATGTAATGGGAAGACAAGATGAAATGAAAAGAAATTAACAGAAAATTTCAAAGATTCTATGGGGACACTATTGAATACCACAGGACACATAAAAAGAAGATAGAAGTAATACAGAGTCACTGTACCAAAAATAATAGTTCAGTGTGCAAACATTTTAAGAGGTACCATACAATCAAGAACCATTGGTATTAAAGGAAACAGTCCAAGCTGTAGTGAAGGCATTAGTGAAAACAAACCTCCAGGAATTGATGGTAAATGGTGTGTGGGGGGAGTGGAGGAGTTCACAATACTA